GCTGGGGCTGGGCTTCCTCTGTACCTGGCGTTCAAAGTCTCAGCATGACCCTACGCCCCAAGACTAATGCTTCTTCTTACCAGTCACTTTAAAATCAAGAAGTCACTTTATTTCATCAAAATACAAAGAAACCTACTCGCATCACCCTTTTTCCTCCGTCGGTTGTACCTGGACATTCCAACCTTTCCTCTATCCTTTTTAATTCCCTAAGAGTACTCACTGCCAAGAAAAAATGCCATCTGGTTGATAGTTTTGTTGTTAAAACAGATCTCTTTTTTTAAGGTACTAGAAAATACATCTTCAGTTTTTTCTTTCAGCAGGCCTTCCTCTACCCAGAGCATCCAACAGTTCATTGATGTTGGAATGTCACTAATTTGAGTCTGTGTGTGGCAACAGCTTTCTTTCTTTCTTTTTGTTTTTAAGAATTAGGGTCTTGCTCTATTGCCCAGGCTGGAATACAGTGGTACAGTCATAGTTCACTGCAGCCTGGACTGCCCAGCTCAAGCGATCCTCCCTCCTCAGCCTCCCAAGTAGGTCAGACTGTAGGCACGTGGCACCTTGCCTAACTTTTTTTCTTTCATTTTTTGTAAAGATGGGGTCTTCCTATGTTGTCCAGAATAACCAACCACATTCTAACAGAAAGTGCTAGTATCTTGCGCCAGTAGTGCTGAATGTCATCATGCAAATTAATCTTTCTCTTTAAGATGATGGTAATGATACCTCTAGGCGGGGTTGTTGTGAGGATTAGAAAGCATACGTGTAATTGCCTGGCACATGACAGCCACAGGCATTTCAATAGTTATCTATTAAGTACCTCAAACTTAAAACCCTACTGAAGTAGGGACCATAACTTAAAACAGTCACAGATAAAACTCTTCATGTCTCTACCATGAGCATACTCACCAGTGTCTGTCCTCGGGGTTCTTCACCTGAATGGGGAACCCCCCTCTGCCACCCCCCACTCTCCCTGCTCTACCCCTGCGCTGGTGGAAGACCCCACTCCTTATCTTGGTTTCCAGATGCCTTCCCAGCCCCATCTTATAACTGTCCCTCACTGTAGCCTCTATGCTGTCCCAGAAGCCTACTGGGACCTTTCCCAGCATCTGATAGAGTGCTCCTTGCCGTTAGTTGAGTCATGGCTTAAATGTCACCTGTGGAAAGGCCTTTCCTGAGCACTCAGTCTCAAGTTACCCCGATTGCATCACCCTGTTTTGAGTCTGGTCTCTGAATAGCGATCAGCACTGTTTCTTGTGTTTATGTCCATCTCTCCCACTAGACGTTAAGCAGGACTTTGCCTTGACTGCCAGTACCTTTCCAGCACCCAGAATTGTGCCTACGTGTGAGACACCTGTCATCTGTTTACCAGGTTAATGGATTCAGTAAATAATAACTGCTCCGATTATCAGCATTAAAATTAAGTGTGTTTGCATGAACTAAGATATATATATATATACGTATATACATATATATACGTATATATATACATATGTATATATATATAAACGTATGTATACATATACGTATATATATATATATATATATTTGTATGTATAATTTAAGGTTAAAAATGAATTTGGGGGATTTAACAGTAACCCTACTGAAATGGGGACCCTAAAATGAGGTCTTTGTTATATTTCCTCCCATACTAGAAGACTGAAAGGAGTTGACTGACTTATGGAAGCCACAGAAAACTCTTCATGGATATAAAAGGAGGCCCTCATCCCTCTTAAATCATCTGCACCCACACAAGTTCCATTTGATAATGCTACAACTGCCCTGCCTGATAAAAGTAACTCAAATGATTAAGTTTCTGCCCAGAACAATGTACATTAAAAATCCTCATTCTTTCTTTTAGATGACTTGCAAAGCCTGCCCACCTAGTGTCTCTCTGCGTTCTCCGCTGTTGAGGACTACAGATCAGAGATTAAAGGAGGAGCTGGTTCCTTTTTATTCTCATTGGCATTTGCACAAACAGGGGTCCCTCAGGGGCTTAGAGCCCCAGACTTATTTTCTGAATTATTCTGCATTATGTAAAGTGCTCTGTCTCCTGGTGAGTTCTGCCTAGCAGTAGCCCCAGGCTCTCTTTTTCTGAACATTCCCACAGACCAGGGCCTTCAAAGATCCTTATTACCTGAAGGAAGACTGTAGTTACAAATTCTCACCCTCTCTCCCTGTGCAGCATGGTGCTTTCCAGGGTAGATGACATAGTGGGTTGGTGAACTCTCAATTCTCTGCCAGGGACCCCATGGAGAAGGCAGTTCCAGAGGAGGGGAAGGAGAAGGTAGACAGAATCCTAAGAGTTTGCCTTACTGGTTCCCAAGCCAGTGTTGGGAAACAGTGATCTTGGGAATGACTTAGAGTTAAATCCATTTTTTTTCACATTGGCTCCTATGATGAGTTTGGGCACAGTTTACTACAATATTATTGCATACTTTCTATATTCTAATGCCTGCAGATTCAAAGGAAAGTGAACATACCCTAAGAAGTTCACTTTGGGTAGGAAATGCAGACACATAACTGTCTGCCTGGACCCTGTGGCTGACTCAGGCAGGAATAGATGTGTGTCAGATGCTCCCACTTGCTTATCACAGACCATATCGACACCTCGCTGCCAGACCCCTCTTAGTGACTTTTCCCTTGGATGTCTCAAAGGCCTCTCAGACTGAACACACCCAAGGTCACACTCATGACCTCCTCTCCCTTCTTCCCTGCTTGTCTCAGTGAGTGGCACCTCTACGGATCTGTAAGCCCAGGACTTGCTATTGATGCCTCCTCCCTCTCTCCTCCCCTTCTTATTTATAGCGCATGCACATCCTGTCCCTTTTGCCTCCCAAATTTCTTCCAAATTCATCTTCTTTGCATCTCTGCTGTCACCATCCTGATCCTAACTACTGTCCTCCTTCATCCCCTCACTCCTCATCTCCTGATTGTCCTTCCATACCTGCTGTAGGCCCCTTCAGTTTTCCCTTTGCAAATAGGACCGCTTAGCACTGGTGCCCCTCCCCTCACCCCCTACACACATAGGTGCACACACTCACAACGGAGGTACACAGACACACATGCGCAGCACTCTTATATGTTAAGATCCTTCCGTGGCTATCTGTGGCTTTTAGAATAGCAAAGTCAAGGCCAAGTGCAGTGGCTCATGCCTGTAATCTCTGCACTTTGAGAGGCTGAGGCAGGAGGATTGCTTGGGCCAGGAGTTCAAGGCCAGACTGAGCAACATGGCAAGACCCCAACTCTACAAACAGTTGTTTTAAAATATTATCTCTTTGGTGGCATGCACCTATAATGTCAGCTATTCAGGAGGCTGAGGCAGGAGGGTGACTTCAGCCCAAGAGATTGAGGCTGCAGTGAGCTGAGACCATGCCACTGCACTCCAGCCAGCCTTGTCCTGAAGAACATTCTCTGTCATTCTCAGCACTCCAGCCAAGCCATACCACCTTCCTTTTATCATACAGTAAAATTGACCATATATATATGTAGTTCTATTACTCCCAACACACGTGTTCATCTTTTTTCTTTATACCAACCACTCCTCAAACCTTCTGGCCCCAAGGCCTTTGTGAATACTGTCCCCTCCGCCAGCCCTGACTTGACAAGGTCCCCCCTCCCTCCAGCTCAGCTCAGACATCCCTTTCTCAGAGAAGCCTCCTCTGGTCCCCTCGACTCAGTCAGCTCCTCTTGTGTGTCTTCACTGCACCTGACTGCATTTCGTGTGGTGACTTTAGAGTCACGAGTGCGGCTCTTCATGTCCACCTTTGTGGTATCTCCAGTGCCTAGCACAGTGCTTGCCCGATAGTAGGTGCCTGGGAAGCATTTTTTTTTTTTTTTTTGACATGAGTATGAATCACCTGTGCAGGAATAATTGGCCCCTGCTTCCAGCCCCCACCCTACTGTCTGTCCTTAGGTGGTTTAGTGCATGTCATAGAAGGGCCCTGGCTTGAAAATCAAGCAGCCTGTGTGAATTGCTCTTCCACCTCTTTTTGGTGAACTTAATATTGTCTCATTTTTTCTTTTTCAATGAAGATTATAAATCTACCTCAAAATCCAATAGTCAAGATTAAATGGGGCAAACTAAGAGAGTAGGGTCTGTCACATAATAGGAGCTCAGCGAACGGCAGCCTTCATTCCACCCATGGCAGTCTTTATTCCACCCAGGTGGGTGCTGGGGAGACTGTTCCAGAGAAAGGGGCAAAATGGTGCTCGGGGTATTAAGTCCTTGTTGAAAAATTAAATAGCCATAGACAAGTTATCATTGTACTCCAGGACCATTTTATCTTTATGGCCCATTTTATTTAACACATGGTTTTCACACCTTCTGTTTGTGCCATTGTGCCTGGCTCTGGGGGATGAGGAGAGGATGTGGCAGGCATGTGTCCTGGAAGCCTGGTGGTGCACTGGTGAAACCAGTAAACAGATCAGAGCCAGGATGTGAAGCACAAGCCTGCAGGTACATCCAGTTCTGTCAGTGTTGAGCCGGGACCACTAAATGCCCTGGGAAGGCAGTCAAGGTTCACAAAACAGGCGGAGCGGACTTGCAGCATCCTCCAGCCTGCAGCACTGCTTCCACCTCCCTGGAGACACACGCCCAGGTCCCAGCAGGCAGAAATGGAGCTCAGCCTCTAGCACAGAGGTTGCACCCAGAGTGTTTCCCGCTTCTTTCCTTCCCACAATACGGGGAGGCATGAGGAGCATCAGGTGGGCAGGAGCCACAGATGCTAAGCGTCCTGCAGTGCAGGCAGCCCCCCTGTGAAGCAGGGTTTGAGCTGGACCCCACAGCCTCCTGCCCGCGTCTCTGCAGAAGGATCTTAGCGCATCAGCTGCCCCACCCCGCCTGTCTCCCAGCCAGCCTGCTGTAGGCAGGCAGCAATGAGAGAGCACAGGGTGACAGTGTGTCTGACGTGCCAGGCAGGCTCTCCCAGGAGAGGAAACCATTCTTTGGGAATCTCCGGTGACGACTGCCTTTGTCTCCCTCTCCTCCCCTGACCCCTGCACAGGTGCGTTTCTCCTGGGAGGAATCCTCTACTCCTGGCAGTTTCCTCATTTCAACGCCCTGAGCTGGGGCCTCCGTGAAGACTACTCTCGGGGCGGATACTGCATGATGTCGGTCACCCACCCGGGCCTGTGCCGGCGCGTGGCACTGCGCCACTGCCTGGCCCTGCTGGCGCTCTCCGTGGCAGCCCCCGTCCTGGACATCACCACTTGGACCTTCCCCGTCATTGCCCTCCCAATCAATGCCTACATTTCCTACCTCGGCTTCCGCTTCTACGTGGACGCAGACCGCAGGAGCTCGCGGAGACTGTTCTTCTGCAGCCTGTGGCACCTGCCGCTGCTGCTACTGCTCATGCTCACCTGCAAGCAGCGGCGCGGGGGCGGGGACCCGGGGCCCCCTCCCAGCTAAGCGTGCGGGGACGCCCACAGCTCCTTTCCCTCTGCTGCCAGGCGAGCGTGTTGTGGTAATTCTGGATCACAAGAAGAGAAATTGCTGGATTTAGAACAAGATTATAAACGAATCTGGTGCTCAGTGATCACTTGACAATTTTTTTAATAAAAGCCAAAATACTCCCCAAATAAGAAATGCATCAGCTCAGTCAGTGAATACAAAGAAGGAATATTTTTCCCTTTGAGGGTCTTTCCATATCTCTCCTCCAACGCCACCCTCCATTCTGTTTCTGCTTCCATAGGTGGCTTCCTCTTTTGGCTCCGTCCTTACCCCCACACCACACACGCTCCCCCTGCCAGGCAGAGTGGCACTTGATGGCCAGACAGCGTGAGCCTCATAATCTGCTGTCTGTAGTTCTGTGAGCTCAGGTTCCTTGAGGGTCTTGTGGCACCCCCTTCCTGGTGATTGAGCCAGAGCCAGCATTTTTTGGTTTTCCCCACCCCACGCATTCTCAACCCCAGTCCTCCTAACAATAACAATAGCTGGGAGCCAGCTGCTGTACATTGGGAATGGGGATTCCACATGCTTGCCTAAGGAGTCTCAGCGTGGACTGCCAGCCCCTGTTCTCCCTTCACCCTCATTGATGTGAACATTTCAGAACTCCGGGAGTCACAGGCATCTTTGTCATTCACGTTAACATACATGCACTGTTGGAAGCATTTCCTTCTGAAAGGGTAGCCCTGGACTTGATACCAGCCGGATACCTCTGGCCCCCGTCCCATTGCTGTACCTCTGGAGACACCACTATGGGCTACTGTACCTCTGAAGTCACTGCTGTGGGTCGCCGCACCTCTGCTATACAGCAGCTTTTTCAAGGCTGTAATGAGAAGGGATGTTAGGAAGGAGGGTGTGCTGGGCTAACCAGCCCACATAGATCCCATTTGTGTCCCTTGGGTGAAAAACACATGTCCATGCCGACAGCTCCTAAATTCAGAAATTAGCTTGTACATGTCCAGTGGCTTTAAGAGCCAGAGCAGGGTTCTGGGAATTTTGTGAGTTATCCTGTGGCCATGCATGGCCTCAGGTACCAAACACGGTTACCTGTAGCCCTTTAGTCCTTTGTACTCCCACAGGTCTGCAGAGTCCCATCTACCCAAAGGTCTTGCAGTCAGACAGGATGTTTTCATTACTCAGTCCCCCAGAGCACTGCTGGTCTGTGAAGATTCATTGGTTGGAGTGGGAGAGTGGGATTGAACAACATTTAAACAGTCAGGAGTTATCTCAAAAATGTCTAATGGGGGTCGGGTGCGGTGGCTCAAGCCTGTAATCCCAGCACTTTGGGAGGCCGAGGCGGGTGGATCACGAGGTCAAGAGATCGAGACCATCCTGGTCGACATGGTGAAACCCCGTCTCTACTAAAAATACAAAAAAATTAGCTGGGCATGGTGGCGCGCGCCTGTAATCCCAGCTACTCGGGAGGCTGAGGCAGGAGAATTGCCTGAACCCAGGAGGCGGAGGTTGCGGTGAGCCGAGATCACACCATTGCACTCCAGCCTGGGTAACAAGAGCGAAACTCCGTCTCAAAAAAAAAAAAAAATGTCTAAAGGGATTGTAGGTAGATAACATCTGATCAGTTACTACTGATCTGAAATATTCCCTCTCGGCTGCCCCCAGGTTATTTACTGTGGAGAACATTGCATAAGAATGTCTGGGAAAAGCCTCTACAACTTGTTACAACCTTCAGATTTGTAAAATTCATTGATTCTCTTTTCCTTCCACAATAAAACTGTATACAGGAACAGGAGTGTGTGTGACGTCATTTAAAGTGAGCATCCCATGCTGAGTTCACAGTTCCTGGTAGAACTGACGACACTTGATGACGCCTTCGAGAGCTGGCAGAGGGCTCATGGGGAGGTCTGTTTTATTTTGTTTTGTACATTCACAAATTATATATATTTATGAGGCAATGAAGTGATGTTATGATTTATGAATATGATTGGAATAATGAAATAAAGCTGATGAATGTATTCGTCACCTCAGATACTTATTTTTGTGGTGAGAACTTTTTTTGTTTTTTGAGACGGAATCTCACTCTGTTGCCCAGTGGCATGATCTCGGCTCACTGCAACCTCCGCCTCCCAGGTTCAAGTGATTCTCCGGCCTCAGCCTCCTGAGTAGCTGGGATTACAGGTGCATGCCACCACGCCTGGCTGATTTTTGTATTTTTAGTAGAGAAGGTGTTCTACTATGTTGGTGAGGCTGGTCTCAAACTCCTGACCTCGTGATCTGCCTGCCTCAGCCTCCCAAAGTGCTGGGATTACAGGCATGAGCCACCGCTCTTGGCGGTGGGTACATTTTTAATTTACTCAGTAATTTTGAAATTGTAATACATTATTCTTTACTACAGTCACACAGTGCGTGATGTATCTCAATGGGAGCAGACATACTCGTCCTCACTGACTTTGTACCCTTTCACCATCACGTCCCCATTTCATTCAAGTCCCAGCCTCTGTAACTTACCATTCTGCTCTCTGCTTCAAGTTTGACTATTTTGGATTCCACATATAAGTAAGAACACGCAATATTTATCTTTCTGTGCCTTATTAAGTCAAGAACTTTCACCTTTTCACTTAAAAGAGGCGCTTTCTGGCTTCTCTGACATCTCTGGATTGCCAGCATCACTACTCTTGTGCTGTGAAGCCATGATTCAGCAAAATAAAGGTTACAGAGCACAAGATCTGCTATGCCACCACAGTTGGATTTGATAACCGGGATGGTTGCTAAGTGACTCATGGGTGGGACAATATTCAGCATGGATCTGCTGGACAAAGAGATAATTCAGGTCCTGAGCAGATGACACTAGGTTGCATCATGCTACTAAGTATGGCACACAATCTAAAACTTAGTCTATTTCTGTAATTTTTCATGTAATATTTTTGGTTCTTGATTGACCATGCGTAACTGACACAGTGGAAGGAGAAACTGCAGATAAGGGGGAACTGCTATACATCCTGCCTGCCTAGAGAAGTGAGGGCAGTCTACCTGCTTCTTGTTGGAAACCCAAATATAATTGACCGGCTAGACAGATTACACTTTTCAGCATCTTTTAGCCACTTATTTCCTAACAAACTGTAAATGTGAAGATACATTCTGGAATAAAGAGGTTCTCCTGTTCACTCACTAATTCAGAGTCCATCACTCAGTGGCTGGACTCTGCCATGCACATCACAGAGCATCTGAGAGGCAAGGCATCCACCAGCATGTGACAGCTCTGTGCTTGCATTCCCATCATGCTTCACTCCTCGCTTGTCAGCTTACATGAGGCCACCAGCTTGAGCCCTCTGAAAATCCCATCTGACCATTGCTCACCTCCTCTACCGCTACCAGATCAGTTGAACCACCCATCTGTCTCTCCGTGGCACATTTCTGCAAGACTCCTAATTTATTTTCTTCTTTGCCCCAGCCTTGTCTGTTTTCCATGCAGCAGCGAGCTTGATCACTGTAAGCTACCAAGCAGATCTGCCATTCCCATTCTCCACCCTGCTCCCATGCAATCTGGTCCTGCTCCCCTCTCTGATCTTGGAAATACCCTCTTGGTCCCATGAGGAAATACCAAATGGTCCCATGCAATCTGGTCCTGCTCCCCTCTGTGATTTTGGAAATACCCTCTTGGCATATCTATTATTCTGCCTACAGATCTCCACACTTTTCCTCAATACTCAAGCACACCCACTGTGGGGTACTCATATTAATACCTCCTGTTCCCTCTGTGTGGGGTCCTCTCATTTCATTGAGATGACACCTCCTTAGAGAGGCCTTATTTGGCTACCTTATCAAATAACACCCCTGTCCCACCCTCAGTGCTTATTACTTCCTTGCTGTGCTTTGCTTTTTTATTTTTTTTTATTGAGGTGGAGTCTCACTCTTGCCCAGGCATAATCTCAGCTCACTGCAACCTCCGCCTCCCGGGTTCAAGCAATTCTCCTGCCTCGGCCTTCTGATCAGCTGTGACTGCAGGTGCCACCATGCTCGGATAATTTTGTATTTTAGTAGAGATGAGGTTTCGCCATGTTGGTCAGGCTGGTCTTGAATTCCTGACCTCAGTTAACACTAATTGATGTTCCATATCTATTTACATATCTCATTACTTAATGTCTGTCCTCCCCCTGTAATATAAGTTCCACGAAGGCAAGGACTGTATCTTTGCATCGCTTTATCTCCAGTTTCTAGAACAATGCTTAGCACAGAGTAGGTGCTCAATAAATTCTTCTTCCTCATTAAATAAAAGAATAACCCCATCTGGGTTATGTGAGGTCCCTGTAGTCAGAGGGCAACAGCCTGTTAGCCTGGGATAAAGAATGAATGGATTTGGAAAGGTATTGATGACATGTGGTTCTATGAGAAAAGTTGGCTTCCACATAGTCCTTATCTGGCTGGTGCAGTCACTGCTCCCCACCCCCAACTTCAGGACTCTGTCCCCAGGCTGCACCAACCAGAACATGCTCCACTGCCTCCAGGTCACTACCCCACAGCTTCTACTGTTTTCTGGAATTACCTTTTCTATCTTCAAGCTTTCACCCCACCCTGCCACTGCCATTCCTGCCATATTCCTTTCCCATAGCACCTATTAATATGTGATATACACATGTCACTTACTTGTTATTGACTAGCTACCACCACCACTGAACTGTAAACTCAGTAGAGCAGAAACATCTGTTTCTCACTGCTATGTCCACAGGCACCTAGAACAGAAGAAAACCCATAAATGACCACGTGATGGATGCTCCATCAATGATCCAAGGAACGAGTACCTTTTATGACAGGGTGGGAGGTGGAGGTGGCGGGAGCACTTGAAGGTGGGGAGATTGGCACACACCTGCCCCTTGTGACTGAATCTGGAACAGATGCAACTTTCTGCGGCTTTGTGAAGAAAACTGCCAGAGTTGAACCAAGGCAAGTGACTCTTTCTTCCTGGTTTCACACATTCATCAGTCTTTGTCTTCCGAATTGTACATTTTCATCATTTTCTCTGTCTTCGGGGTACCTTGACCTAACTACTTAGTAACAGCTTTCAGCCCAGTAAATTAAGTTGTATTCTTGACCAGAATTTTGACTTCTTAAATACATTAGCGGAGAATCTGTTGTCTGTCTCCATCTTCATCCCTCATCATCTTCCACTAAAGGCACTTCTTTAACTCATTCCCACCAGATAGAAGCCCAGGTGGCACATCCTAAGCACTCACATCATGCATCCAGGTTACCGTAAATGAGGGAAACTCTCCCAGTTTGTAAATTGGGGACCTGCCTGTGAGGTAAAAGCCAAGACAATGGGGACCCCCAGATGCAGAGACGGTCAAGAGGGCAAGTGCACTCCGATTAGGAAACAAGGGATCCAGGTTCATGGGAAAAGCCTGCCTTTCCTCACCAGCAGGCAGCCAGGGGGCGCTGCTAGCTGGGGCGCTGTGAAGCTGCTGTTGACTGAGGGCTCCTCACTCAGCAAAGCTGGGGACAGAGCCAGGGATTCAGGAGAGGGCAGGGCAAGGACAGCACAGGGCACAGTGGATGAGGCAAAGCAAAGTTCTTGGTTGAATAACCTCACTCCACCCCAAATGTCCAAAGAGAGGCAAGGTGACCAGGACAGTCTGGAGAAGATGAGCCAGACACATCAAACAAGTCCTCCAGCCCTCCCCAGCTTCAACAGACACAGAAAGCAAGGGGCCAGGAACCAACACAGAGACCCAGTGAGAGGAGTGCCACCTTCCGCCCACCAGTCAGCTATCCTGTGCCCACTGAGCACGAGGTTTTGTGTGAGGCCTCGTGTGGAGGAGAGAGATGCACATAGATACCCCTAGCCCCCAGGAGCTCACTCTGGAGCTTTCCCAGAGAGGCAGTGCAGCCATGGGGTGGGAGTAGAAGGAGCCTTCCCCTTCCCCTAACGCCCCACCCCCAGCCCCCCTCCTTCCTAACTCAAAATCCTCCAACCTTGCCTGTGCTACTCCCAGGACCCGCCACCTGACTTAGGGCAGCCTTTTTGTAGCCTGGCTGAGGGCTTCTCAACATCCACTTCTCCATGATCCTGGCTCTGTGTCCCTTGATCTGGCTCTCAGGGTTTTTCCTGCTGGGCTCCATCTCTGGCACAGGGCTGGTCTGGCCATACGCCCTGACTCCAGAAGGGGACTTGAGCCAAACTGAGCACTCAGCCCAGCCCATGGCTTTTTTTTTTTTTAATGAGATAGTCTAGTGTCCACACATCACCGCAGTTGTGTTTCTGTGTCTCGAAGGAAATCGTTCAGCATAGGCAGTTGGTCATTAGGCCGAACACTAGCAGTGTTTGGAGAGTGTGGGGAGGAGAGAAGGCACTTTGGGCAGACAGCAGGGTGAAGTGGCATTGGTGTTTGGGGAGCATTTGCAGTTCCGCATGGCTGGAGTGTAGGGACCAGGAAGGGCTGGAGTGTGAGATTGAAGAGAGAAGTAGTAGAGGGACCAGGTCTGGCCAACTATATTTTGCCTAAAGAAGTCGTCTAGGCTTTACCCCTAAGGGAAATAGGGAGCCATTGAAGAGTAAAGCTGGAAAGTAGCGTGGTCGTGTTTGTGCTTTAGAAAGAAAATCCAGGCCACAGAGCAGAAGGTGGATGGGAAGAACTGGGAAGACCAGAGGAGCAATAATGGGTCTGGATCTGGGCCGATGAGGGAGAGGCAGAGCAGAGAAAACTCCCCAAGGTTGACTGGGGTGAGAGAAGATCCTGGGATATTCTCGGGGTCCCAGCTTGAGGACAAGGTGGTGCCTTTGCTCGAGAGTACCCCTTGCATTTCTCATGTCCCTTTCTCTCCTTTTGCCTTTGGTCACCAATATCTCAATGGCTGGTCTCACCTCTAGTGGAAGACCCAGGCTGCCTCAGCCTGGCTTTCACCCCCTCACACTCACATCATCCTGCCTCCCCCAACACTGCAGACCCCTGGCCACCCAAGCCTGTGCCGGGAATGTCACCACTGTCTGGCACTTGGGAAATAGCTTCCCTGGCCAGTCTCAGCTGCAGTCTCCA